CGGCGGCGCGTTCGATCGATAGCTATCAGTCCAATCAGTTTGACTAGCCCTTTTTCGTCGATCAGCCGCCTACACCGTCCGCCTTCGTTGACTCGATCGATCGGCCGCCATCGATTTGATCGGTTCAACCGACTCCACTTGTATGTTGTATCATCACATGTTTGTCTCAAGTTGCTTGTGTGACTACATCTTACACCACGCACCTTGTCATGCATCCGTAAGCATACGCTCTCATATGCTCATGGAGGGCGTATATGTCCCACTGTAGCATTCCTTTCGTGCCTACTTTGTAATGTCCTCGTGTCACGATGCACCAACTTTGCGTGTTTGCACTTTCACACTAGCATCCTCGCACGATTGATTGAATGATGCATTTGCATGTCTTGCTTTTGGGTTTTTCTCACACACTTATCCCTCACATTCACATCATATGGACGGATGGCTCACCACCGAGCTGACCTATCGTGCAATTCCCTCCAACGAAAATTGCATAGTTTCACTCCCTACAACGCCTCTCAGGATCACTATAGGCACCCGTCCGGGTCACTGGCTTCACAACACACCCACCCTCCGGGTCACTGCCTCCACGACACACACCCACTCCTCCTGGTCACTGCCTCTAGGACACAGGGTCACTGCCTCCGGGTCACTACCTCTACGACACACCCACCCTCCGGGTCACTGCCTCCACGATACACCCAGCCTACGAGTCACTATCTCCACAACACACCCATCCACCGGGTCACTATCTCCACGACACACCCACACTCAGGGCACTGTCTCCACGCACACCCATCCCCTGGGTTACTACCTCCATGACACATATCCTTCGGGTCACTATCTCCACAACATACTCACCCTTTGAGTCACTGCCTCCACGACACTGGGTCACTGTCTCCACGACACACCCACCCTCAGGGTCACTGCCTCTATGACACACCCACCATTTGGGTCACTGCCTCCACTCCACGACACACCCACCATTCGGGTCACTGTCTCCACAGCACACCCATCCCCCGGTTCACTGCCTCCACAGCACACATATCCTCCGGGTCACTGTCTCCACAGCACACCCACCCTCCGGATCACTCTCCACAACACACTCATTCTCAAGGGACACTGCTTCCACAACACACTCATTCTCTGAGTCACTGCCTTCACGACACACTCTTCTTCACTTGCGTTGTATGTTTTTCATGCATCATTCCACACTTGTCGACGCATTCGTCATTAATGTATGAAGTTAACACACATGCGTAGCGTTAAGGTTTCAGGTGTAGGCAGGTGGAAGGAGGTGTGTAATGGTGATGTAGGGTAGGAGGGAAAGAAAATTTGAAGGGTGGTAGATGTTAGAAACCCTAAGATGAGATTAGAATTATGCTAGTTTTAATACCAAATGATATCGAAGTTAACCCAAACCACAATAGAACAATTATATTATTCTTGCAATTCAAATAAGCAGTCACAAACAATCAACGTAAATGAGAAAAAGACAATACAAACAATTACCCCCAGTAGGGCGAGATTCAAAGATGGTGGACGCAGTTATAGGAGGAAATTGAGAGGTATGGGTGGTTGAGTGGTCAAGCGGTAGCCAGGGAAAGGCTGACATGCGACTGGACAGCAGCAAGGAAGCCAAAAGGGAGGTGGGAAGGTGGTGGCAGCTAAGGGAGGTGAGGGATGTGAGGTTTTGTTTGGCGGATGGACAACAAATTAGTTGGCTGTGAGGGAGCCTGGGAAGGGCGGCGGCAAGTTGGGGCGGCTGTAAGGAAGGTTGTGAAGGCAAGGGGAGGGGAAAGGAGGTGCTAAGGAATTGCGGGCTGCGGAATTACAACTGGAGCACGTTCTTGCCTTCAGATGCAACCTTAGTGGGAAAACACTGGAAGCCGATGGCTATCTAGAATATAAATACATGCAAAACCAACCTATATAATACTAGAGTAACTAAGGAGTGGCTTAGTGGCCCCTCATTGAGTGGGCGGCAATCCCACGCCTCAGATGGGTCGATTGGCCCCAAGTTAGCTTGGAACGGAAAATCTCGATTTAGGCCTAGTGTTATCCTACGAGACGGCGCTCGCGAGAATGATGTATGTGTCACCCTTGGCATACATACTCCACCACAACAGATACGGATCAAAAGAAATAGTAGGATTAGGTTTATCGCATGAGAGTGAATGATAGGAATCATGGAATTTCAAGGTGTCTTGTGATAAATTATACAATTTAAGGTTGCATAGTAAGAGTGGGTTTTGATGTGGATTAGGCTTATTTATGAAACTTGGGGGTATCAAGCTGAATGAGAGCAAGATTCAAAGGGTTGCACTATTTTCATATTCATGTTTAAGTTAGATTAGGAAAGTAAATGTATGAGGGTGGCATATGAAAACTTTAAAAATTCTATTTTTGAAGCAGAAATGAAGAGGGATTTAGTTTAATAAAGTTTGAAAACAAAATGTAGGTTTTGGGAATTGAGCAGGATAATTTCATTTATATGAAAAGGGGGTATAAATATGTTTACATGAATTATAAAATAGGAAAGACATAACTCATATTACTACGAATCAATTCATTTACTAATAACCACCCAAAGATAGAAGGAAAGACATAAAGTAGGAAATACATAAAATAGGAAAAAACTGGAAAGAAAGTAAATCAATATTAATAACTTCTAATACAAAACAATGAATATCCACTCAAATACAAATTGACGGAGGATGATCGCACAAGAACAAATTGCAAAATTTTGAGAGAGAGAATGAGATGAAAATAGAAGGAATGGAGAGCTCTACTACACGATAGATCAAATGAAGAGATGAGCACTCGTAATTTGGCTCCATAATAATTCATTTATCAAAGAAAAATGATTAAAGAGTTCATACAAGTGATGCATAAGAAAAGGAAGCAACCCTAAAATAAGGATGAGAAAATCCTTATTGATAACACTAACATAAGAATGAGACTATTCTTAGCTTTATCATAGTTGATCTAATAAGATAAAGAAAATAGATAAATTTTGGCCCAAGTTGGTGAGGGGTCTAAAAAGCCTTGAAAATTGTTCCAATTAGGGCCATTTATAGCCTAGCTTAACTCCTTGTAATTGACCTATAAGGAATTGATCTTGTATAAGCAAAATTGCTTGAATGGTGGTCAATCAATCTTTATGGAATGGCACTAATGAAATGGCAAGAAAATTTCTAGCCTACACAGTTGAAAGTTTAGTGATGCTGCTATGAAAGCAAAATTTTTGATTGTTTATCCATGCAATAATTTCTACTTCATAGGAAGACCTCAAATATTATAGCAAAATCAAACAATTTGGGAAAGTTAACATATGAAAATGTAAATTTTTAACTTTGTGCAGCTGGTTAACAAATGGTTATTCAGAATATTTGCACATGCCTGATGAGCAATATTTACATTGCATAAGCATCCGTATTTGAGGAAAAGGACATATTAATACTTACATTTGCATCTTTAGCTTTCACAGTTTTTGGCCTTAAGAGATTCGGGTTCTCAACTTCAATCAAGCCTTCAGTGCCTTTTCTTTTCTGTGAAATAAGGAAACCATTAATGTTACTCCCATATGATAGGAAACAAACACAATGACAATAGGGTTTACTAAATACTACCTCCGTCTCATCAGATTCCTCTTCAGATTCCGCTTCTTTTTCTTCTTCTAATTCTTCCTTCTCTAATTCCTGCTAAAAGCATAACCTTTGGATCATGAAACAATTATAGGGTGTGTGAGAATAGAAGTTTATTAGCTATCATAGATTCATAAGAGGGCAAGGAGATTGAACAAGCATGTAAGACTCTATGTCGTGTCCAGAGCAATTCATTCTAAAAAAGAAAATGAAAAGAGAAAGAATTCAAACAGAGATCAACAAGGCAATAAATGAATCTACTATAAATATATAAAACTATGATGCTAAGTAAAAGTCACCGTTGGAAAAAGGAAAATTATGAGACTAGGTTTTTATTTAAATTTAATTTTCTTATTTATTGTATCAGAGAGAGAGAGAGAGAGAGAGAGAGAGAGAGAGAGAGAGAGAGAGAGAGAGAGAGAGAGAGAGAGAGAGAGAGAGAGAGAGAGAGAGAGAGAGAGAGAGATGCATACATGTTTGCCTAAGAGTTTGTCTAAGAAATAAGATTGATTCAAAATTGAATACAGATGGCTTAGACAAATCAGTAACCCAGACCATGCTAGAATAACGATTAATTAAACCAATCAATACTTAGTTTGACTTGGATTAAGACCAGCCAAAATGGCATTTCCTGGATATTGAGTCAGTCTCCTCAAGGAAAACTCTAATGAGAAAGTGCATGAGTAAGTGCGTGGGCTATAAAAATTCATGCCCCAGCCTCCCTTGGAGTTTAAGTTAGTTATGGATGCAATTTTCAAAAGTCAGATTAATTTTGCATACAAGATGCCCATATTCTCCACCATCATTTTGCAAGAACATTAACTAGTTTAAAATTTTTCATAGGGGCAAGCCCATATGATTAATTATTGCTCCCAACAAAAAGAGGAAACTTTCAATCCATAATAGTCATTTGAGACACTAATTTCTTAACATATATTAGCAACAATTTGATTGTAGATTGTAATAATCTTTGATCTACATATTTAGTGGAGGTAGTCAACCAAGTCTTATGAAAGAATCCTTATCCGCAACTATAAGTTACTTAGTTTAATATGACATTGTCAGCCTATGGTCGATCTTTGTTTAGAAAAATAATTTTAAGTTTATCTTAGTTAATGAAAGACCTTATATTAACTTTATGATTCATTATTCAAGAGGCTAAGTTATTGGAAAATATATAGCCTCCGACCATGGTCGTAATATAATACCGCTATTTTATAGAAAATAATTACATCGGAAGGCTCTGGTTATAACAACTTTTTTAATGTGTCCTTTTATAGAAAAACATGCGAATAAAATAAACAAGAGTGAATCTTTTTAGAGTGATCATAAAGATCCGCTAGATATGACATTAACTCTTTATAATTGTATCACAACAACAACAACAACAACAAAGCCTTCTTAATCCCACTATGTGGGGTCGGCTACATGAACTCTTTATAATTACATGTTAATTTAAAATTTATCGCACTCAATAAATAGTAGAAGCTAGATGAATCTTGCTTTTAGCTTAGATGGTAGATTTCACCTAAACATTTTCTTTGATTTTTTTCAATATTTTTTTTTAATTTCGATATCTTATTGAGATTTATGCTCTAAGTAATTTGAATTAATTTTTTTGGAATTTTCATAATAGTATTCTCTCTGATTGAGAATTTTTATTAGCAAAGTCATCATTGAGATAAAAACAGTTTCGACTATTTAGATTTGCAATTTTGAATTTCTATTTTAAAAGTGTAGCTTTATAGTTGTAATACTCAATAGACATATAGACATTTCCATCATAGGGGTTTCTAAATAACTTTATTTTGTCATTTTAAACTTATTCACTCTGCATGCTTGTCTACGAATGATCAGGTTCATGATATGTTTAACCTCGCAACTGTTCCTTATAGGTTTGAAATTAAGAGTTTGTATTTGAAAATATATTTTTGTTAGAAAGAAAAGCTAAAACCCTTATATAAATGTAAGACTAGATATCTTATTATGTTAAACATATCATATAAGGTTCACGGGTTGTCAGCTCCAATTTTAGAAATAAAGAGGAGCTGACTTTAAATGTGAGGCAATCTACCCTATAGGCAAGATAGACCACTTTAAGTGTGTGTATGCGTCAATGAATTTGAATTTTGAAAGAAAGTTTGATAGAATTCAAAATAATTGCACACTTCTTCTTAAGGTGGGAGAAGCTTGAATTTATCATATTTTTTTACTATTCACTGCGTCCTCTAACCATTGAGTTGAGCATTAGCATGTTCATCTGAACACATACTAAAATTTGAGTTTATTTTATGCTAATCTACATAACATTCTCAAATTATAAAATAAAGCATTTAGCATATTAGTAAGGCATACAAGGGCAATTTAAGATCATTTTATGGTAGTTAGTGTAGCAGTATTTAACCTAAAAAATTGAGCGCTTATATATTAGTCGAAGCACATGTAGATAATTCGGGTTTTTTTTGTTAGTTCGCGTAACATTCTCAAACCGCAAGTTAAAGTATTTAATAAATTGGTCGACAGGCATACGAACATTCAATTTCATAGACTTAAACATAATTTAGAGAAATTTTAAGGCAACTCACACAATTTTAGAGGTAATATGTATGAATTAAGATGTGGCTTACAGAACAAGTGTAAGACTTAAAATCATTGAGATTTGACTATTTATGTGAACATCTTCTTATTGCTTGCATAAATGTGTTGCAGATCTAATAGTGTATGAGGCATTCTAGGTTATTATTGTGCATTAAAAAATGACATTTATTTGCTTGCATTTGGTCCTCGGTGTGTTCGATTCAGCTTTAAATGAGATTTTGTTCACGCGCTTTGATGAACTTTCAAATTTACCATGAGTCATATTCGAGTTCTATTTGAGTTTTCTTCTTCTTTATAGATAGGCTTTCAAGTTCACTGCAAGATTCATTTGCATTCATTGACAAACTATCCAATTATTTGTTCTACTCATGCGACATATTCCTATATTTTCAAAATTTTAATTTTAGTTTCCTTTGTAGATGTTTCTTTAACTTCATAAGTCCCCTTTATATCATTCCTTTAACGTCTGTTCAATACGAATTTCGAAAGCACCAAGCATTTTATCAACCTAAGGTCATCTATGGGAGTATTGGACTAACCCATTGCCCCAAAAAAGCAATGTAAACACCACAGTTTGATTTTTTTTTCAACTGCATCAGAAAAGCATGTGATGGTCACATGAACAATAAAAAACACGAGTTTGCCACCTCATCAATAAAAATGTATATAGGTATTTAATGTTTGCGATATAAAGATCTCTTCCTCACTAAACCAGAAAATGCACATATAGGACTTCATGTACGTGTTTGAAGCTTATAACAATTTTCTAACTATATTGAAACAAAGTGTGTGAGTATTATTTAAACCTTCCTATCGTGCTAAGAAAATCACATACAAAACTTACCTACTACATTATCAGCATCACATAAGAGTATTCCCCACCACATTAGAAAAAACAAATACCTTTTTTTTGTCCCAAATGCATTGCAGACAAAATTTTGAGTTTTTTAAGCAAAAGTTTTTTATACTTCGTGCACAAAGCAATGCTGGCAGCAAGAAGAATTTTGCATAAGATCAAAGCGCTCAATTTTTTTCTTTATCTAGCCCTCTTTTTCTCTTCTCTGTTTTGCTCTCTTTTCTATCTTCTCTTCTTTTTTTTAAATCTGTATTTTCTTCTCATTTTTTATAATATACATAAATAGGTTTCACCATGTTTGGAGAGAGATGCAGAAAGAAAGAGGTGAAGGGAGAGTGACAGGTCCCTCTCCTTTTTTTTTCTAATTACTAAATAATCAAAACAATCAAAATTAAGTCTTCGATTGATCGACACCAAACAGAATTTTTTTCAAGTGATAAGTTCTATGATATGTTTATGTTCAAATTTCTTTAAATAGCATTAAATTACAAAATTTCTAAATTATTATGTTTGTTGTCACTGTTTTGTTTCCCCTTCCATTGTTGCCAATGAAGGAGACCGGCATTGGCATGATGAGTACTCAATAGGACCCCAGCCTTCACAAGAATGGGGATTAGGCTTTTGAACTTGTTAAAGCTCTTTCTACATATCTATTAAGCTTTGATGAAGTCATTAAGACACATTTCATACAGAAAACTCAGCAACTATGTATTTTGAAGACACTGGGAAAATTTTCATAAATTGCAAAATTTCTAATCTTTTCCAACTGGCCTTTTGATTCCCAAATTGATTTCCAAGCATAATTTATACAAAACAAAACAAAAACACCCACACACACACACACACACACACACACACACACATATATATATAAATTTATTTATTTATATTCTTGCAATTTTAAATAGCAAATAAGTTTCAGTATTTTTATTTTGCAATATAAAAGAGTATATTGAGTTGCATTCGTCCGAATAGAGAGTGCATAAATCTTGGCTTCTCAGTCATTGAGAAAGTTTGTGAAGCAAACTCCAATTAGTGGAATCCTCCAAAAATTGGTCAGGCATGAATGTAGGCTTTGAGTTTAGCTAAACAGCATAAAAATACTTGGCATATCAAGTCCTATAGTTTAATTCATTTTTCTTGCATTTACTGGCACATTAAATTAATTTCTTGGAAAAAGTTCATTATGTAAGAATTCCTTTTTGGTGATAATCACAATAATTGAAATTATTATATTATACAAGAAAATTGTTTTACAAGTGCTAAAACTTATAATTCATTCACTTATAACATAAAGCTTCACTTATCTTAATTCTTATTTAGACATAATTATAACTTTGATGTTAGAATATTAACTTAGATTGCCTTGTGTAGTTGAGTGAATGCCTGATACTGAACTTGATAGTCATAACTTAACACACACAGTTCATTTATTTAAACTAAAGCATAAGTTTGTCTTATGTACCCTCACACTTGCAGGATTAGATTAATTAAATGGGTGTCATCTTATATTATAGAAAATATTAAATTATATTATAGCAAATTAAAATAAGTTGAGCAATTTCTACCTTTCACCTTAGATAATGTCAAAGGAAAGAAAAACTAGCAAGCAAATCAACAGCAATAAATTTTCATTCCTAGTTGGCCAAAATAGGCTATTAAAATAGGAAATATCTCTATGAATAACTTTTTGTAATTTTGTGATAAAATAATTTTAACAGTTTCTACCTTTCTAAAAGTGCGAGGTCGAGATGATGTTCCAGCGGCTGCACACAAGCACAAGGAAATAAATTAGAAACAAGTTAACAAAACCCTCATCATAAACTAAACATCGTATCTCAAGATTTGAAATTTAAGAAAACGCACAACTAGAAACGCAATACCTAGAAGTATGCAAAATTTTATTAGTCATGAGTCAAAGAAGGGTTCTTACTAGTATTTAGCCGCGATTAAATTAAAAAAGAAAGATTTACATACATACCACTGAATTCCTAAGTATTTACATATCAAACACCAAAACTTTAATTTTTACACATATGTTATCCATGCATGAAAAGGTGTATTTCACTTTTTAAAAGTTAAAATAGTGATATTTTTATGTGATATGAATGATTTGGGCGGTATAAATGTGAAAAATAAAACTTCGGAGTTAGAAATGTAAATACATGGGAATCGGGTGGTGTATGTACGTAAATCCCCCATTAAAAAAAATCAAGGCAATAGAAAAATAGACGACAATAGCTGGTACTATGAATAACTGATAAAAAATAAGAATCGTCATAGCTAAGAGAAAACATAAGGGTTTAGCTTCTGTAATTAATAGTAGCAACTTCAAAGCTAATATAAGCATGCTGTAAGCAGTCACAATCTCAAAGCAACATGAGGGGCTGTCAAAGAAAGAAAATTCAAAAACTAAAGCTAGTATTTGAACT